CAGACAACCCTGTGCGGAACGAACCCGGGGGCTCCTCCATCGCCGAACACCTTCGAGCCTTAACCTTCAAGTCTGCAGGAAGCTCCAGCCTTCCGATAAGCCCTTAATTATAGTCTAGTAGAATGTAGTGTGGGATAGCATAGAAGAGGATAGGATAGGAGAGTACTATATAGGCTATGACAGTACATATGGCATCGTCCTGTTCCGTACCTACAAAACACTTTCGCCTCACATCCGGAATCCAAAACCCGACAATGCTAAGTCCTAAAACCCTAGCCCTGCAACACCAAGCCGTAGCCCCCTACGCCAAACTATACCCCCTTTTTGGGGTTTAGGGCCTGAGGGTTGAATTGTCTTTTTGGCCAGCTCGCGGCTCTCCGGTTGGTCCTACTGCTCGCTGCCGGGATGGTCACACCAGTCCAATCTTAAAAACAAGCTTGGGGATGTTAGGGGCGCTTTGAGGCTGGGTGGTCTTCATGGAGGGTCTAGTGCGAAGACATCAAGAGCTTTGCACTCCGGTCTTCTCGAGTTCTGGCATGTTTGGGGGGGGGGGGGTCTTGAAACTGCGTAGGGGACTCGGGTCCTTCGTCATCTGAATCTCTCACTGACCTGAAGGTATCTCAGGCTGTTGAGCTAATATAGGGGGCCTTCATAATTAGCTAATAGGGTTTTTCGGGTATATTCTACTATAAATATAATAAGAATTTTGGGGCCTTAATAATTAGAATAGGGTTTTTGGGTCTATTCTACTCTAATCATAATAAGGACCCCCCCCCCAAATAATATAGGTAATTAATTAAGGCCCCTCTATTAGGTGATTTCCATCCGGTCTTGCACTTCGAGGCCCGTGACAGATAAGGGTAGCCTTTTTCCTGTTATTCAGGTTTGATAGGGGAACCCTACAATAAAAAGTGCAAAAGGGTACTACTCAGGAACCTAGAATAATCCAAGGGGCCCTGCCAAACAACCTTACATTGGCGTCACCTAACCAGAGGGGTACTCTTGCGAAGGACTACAATACTGCGTGTTTTGGCTGCTCCCAGAATGACATGGGTCATATGGGGGCATCATACTGCAGTTGGAGCATGGTGCGCGGTGGAGGAGCGTCTATAAGCACACTGCCGGTGCAGTTTTGCACGGGCATTCCCGTTTGGGAGCTGAAGCCTCATGGCGCATGCTGCGGAAATCCGAGCAATCTTCCCAAAGCCAGCGAGTTTTAGGGTTTAGGGTTCCTTAGACCCTGAGGGTTTAGGGTTTAGGTTATCATGCAACTGTGCGGAGCTACTTTTGTTGTTGGATCCTCAAGCAAATTTCGAAAACGGAACCGGATGTGCTGCCTTTGAATGGGCGAAGCGTTGGGATTCAGATAGCACGAGAAAGTCGGGGGCTCCTGCGTCACTTCGTTTCTGCTTCGTTTGGCTCAGGAAGCCCGCTGGGACGGGACTCAGAGCAACCAGAACCTCCAACTCCACGTATCTTTCCTTTGAGGCCTAAGCCCTATCCCTGTCTCGAATCTCGACAAAGCTCTGAAGACAGGGCTCTGCAAACTCCAAGACCAGCGGAGGTTCTGGTGTCCAAATTCGGCTCTAAGGGAGTAGCTGGAGTGGCTGATCTCCCTCGACACCAAGATCCCTAGACCCTGCATGAGATTTAGGGCTCAAGCCCAACAGCATGATTGAAATGGCCCTGTGGCAGTCTACAAATGAACTTTTGGCCTGGCTTATGGCTGCTCAGGACATGGGGTCCATAAAGGTCCCGGCCGCCGTGGTCTCCCGGGCTTGTAGCTCTGGCTATGCAAGGTGTTGCCTTGCCTTGCTGACAATAACTAGCACAACCGCCACCACCACCAGCATCATCATCATCATCGTCGTCGTCATCATCTTCTTCAGAAGCCATCCTCATAGGCATCTTTCGTCGTCGCCGCCATCATCTTCATCACGAGTGACGGTCATCACTGCCTTCACGATCACCATCGGCATGACTCCATGACCCATAATCAACATCGCCAGCATCGTCAACGTCACTCGTTGGCTTTGTCACTGCCCATCGTGGTGGTGATGCTGACGACGACGGACAAATACTGACAAATACTGTTGACCACCCCGGCGAACGTGTGCATGATGTGACGGATGTTAGCCAGAGCCCGATAATTGAACCACCGACAGAACCGGATGTCTTGCTCATCATGACACTGAAGATGCTGTTAAGTTGTGTGTGTGTGTGTTACTTTGGGCTGACTTGCGTAGCTGACAGTATGGGAGTGTGATGACTGTCAACATCAGCGCGATGCTGCTGAGAAGTGTGGCTGTCATGATGCGATTTATGGAACTGATGATGATGGTGGCGATCATTTTGATGAGGGTGGTGGTGACGGTGCAGATCATACCCAAGGTCGGCGCACGGATCGTCGCACTGCTGCTTCTCATACATGCAACGATCATGATGATACAATGATACTACTACTGTATATCACACCAGTCATCTTGTTGGTCATAGAAACCCATGTGGCAGTCACCGGCATCACCCTCATCATCACCATCATCTTCTATCCTCGTCTTTGCCGTTATCCTCGTAACCGTCAAGGCCCACTGCTTCATCATCAGCATCACCATCCGCACCAAAACCATTACAATCCCCGTCGTCATCGCAGTCATGAACATCTCACCACTTTCGTGGCCTTCGTCTTTGCCCACAGAATCATCAAGACCTCTCTGCTCCAATTTTGTCAAGTTGAGCAAAACACGTGACGCCGTAGCTGTGATCATGACGGCTGGTGCTGACCGCACTAAGTAGTACTAAGGAATATAGCATCATCATCTGCATCGGGACCATTGAAAGAACAGTAGCAGTGCCCCGAAGCGTCGCTCTTCCTTCCTTCCGCTGGGTTCACTCTCTCTCTCACTCTCTCTCTCTCTCTGACTCTCTCTTTTTCAACTGCAATCTTAGAGCCTGAAGAAGCCGCTCCTAAGCCCTAAGCCCCAAACCGCTACGGAACCCTATGGTACAAAACCCTAAGTACTAGTTAACTAAACCCATTTGCGCGAGGGGGTCAGCCCGGGGGACTCTGTTGGCTGCGGTACCCGTTGCTGATGGGGAGGCTTGTTCCAAGTTAGGGCTCCCAGTAATACTGTAAAGCTTAGGGTTTGAGAATACAGCTGGTCCCCAGTTCTACGACGGAGCCCAGTAGGGTCCTGTAACTTGGAACAGCTCCCCACATGATAGATGGTTTTGAGAGAGGGCCTGCTGCCAGATCTTGTCTGTGATCCCTCTGAAGTCCAGCAGTATCGGCATCACCATGATCAGAAGCATGGCTATCTCAGTCGTTCCCCGTAAATACTTATGGACGGAGGTCGAAAGTTTTCGTAACCGACGACCGGGCATATGCAAGCTGCGTGAGCTCCTGCGCTAGGTGTCGCTGAGGAAGAGGTATCAATATCTGATCTTGGCGAACGAAACAGGTCGTGGTCGCCACAAGTCCTTCTCAATCAAGTCCCTGAGGCAATTGCGAGAAATCGCCCAACACCAGGCCCTAGTCCCTACATGGAGCATGGCCCGCTCTGAATTCGGAGGCTCGGCACAGAATTATTGCAAAAGGCGGACGGCCAAGGAGAGCAATTGAAGGGACTATTTCTAGCCCTTGCTTTCGAAATTAAATGGCATAATCCCCCGGCTCGAAACCTAGACTGAAGCTTCCAAACGCCGACATGGTGAACGTATTCAAAAAGGCGTGACAGTACCCGAAGCAGGTATGCTTGGATTAGCAGTTCAAGGGGAAGCGAACCTCAAGACTGAGGTGTTTAACCTGTGGTATATTCATAGGGAACACAGCGGGAACGGGTTGAGGGTTTGCAGACTAGGGTTCACACATGTTGCGAGTTCAGACATCCCGTAGCAGGAATTACAAGCTCTTGCCCTTTGAATGCTTGGGCTCGTAACGGGGGTCAAGGGCCCATGGAACAGATCATCATCCTGGAGCCTAAACGCTAATCCCCGAACCCTAAAGAGATCCCGGCATGTACTCAGCGGCTGCCCTCTTTCTCAAAGCGGCGTTTGGGGATTTCTCGCTTGGGGCTTTCAGGCTTCGTGTCCGTTTTGTCTCTTCAGGGCCCTTTTCCCTAAACCTAAGCCCTAAACCCTAAACCCCATGTAACCCTAAACCCGGGCTACACATAATTTGGGAGGGCCTGCTTCGGGCTGATGGATCCTAAGCTCCCCTAGGGCCACACGGTCTTCGGCTTGGGCATGGGTGCCACGTTGAGGTACCATTTGGCGAACCTTGGCCACTCTGTGGTGCTCCGGGCTTGGAAGTCTCAGGGTTGAGTTTAGGGTTTAGGGGATAGGGTTTAGGGGTTTAGGGTTTAGGGGTTTATTTAGGGGTTGAGGGTTTAGGGGAGTAGGAGTAGGATTTTTGATTTTTAAACATTGCCTTTGCTTCAGGCAGCCCTAGCCCTCGCTTCGGTCAGCAGGCAGCTTGTGGGTTTCGGCAGTGTGTCTCCGAACATCACAACCCCCGGGAGGATCCAAAAAGTAGATCCCTTAATGGGGGTTCCCATAAAGAGCCCTTAGTAGTATGGGGTCCCAAATTAGGGGTTCTGCAAAGTCTTGCAGGCTTCTTCTACGAAGGGCTTGCTGCTAGTTGTGATTAGTAGAGCCTCGCCTGACATGCCTCTTGTACCGTCACAGTATCAAGACTAGAACTGAGGCTGTGACCAAGGATCGTCCTCTGCTGCATTCATTGCATCAAGAACTTCACAGAATACATCAACAAAGTAACATAGCCATCATCAGAACCAGTAGAATCATCTTGACCGTTGTTGCTACCAATGTAACTCACGCAGCAAAGCTTCTCTGTGATCCTGGCACCCTCATGCTACATGCGAGCCTAACCTTTGCTGGGCCCTTGGTGCGGCATAGAGAACGCGAAGCATGCACAAGCCGCATGCCATCCGAAGCCCTACACCCGAAATCTGGCGAAGCCCAATACTCGACAGGCGCCCCACTCCATGAGATCGATGCTGCCAGAAAAGTCCTCATCCACCTCTCAAGCAAAAGGAGCAAGGCATAGGAATCCTGCCTTCACTTTTCGAACTTGTCAAGTACTGGCCTGGCTTAGGGTGCTTAGGGTTTCGAAGACGTCGAAGCCATATCTCAACAAGATCGCCGACGTGATGCGATACCCGTACCGGGCAACTGCTCACCGCTCGGCAGTCCAGTCTAGTCTTGTTGCGATGGTGGCTAAAGATGCGCGGGCCTCTTGCCAGAGGATTCGGAACTTCGTCTCGTTGACCTGCAGGCGCCGTGGCAATCTTGGTGTGTCCCGTCTCCAAGCCTCACATCCCAAAGTTCCGGCCTGTGACACATCGATGCCCTCAAGTTGGCAGTATACTTGCTGGAACTCGTAGTGGTCCAAGGCGCCACTCCTCGGGCGTGGTGTCAGGCTTCGGATATACGTCTACAGTGCCTTTGTGTCAAGTTTCGGTTGATGATATGAGGTTTCAGGTACATCGGCTTGGTTTGTCTGAGCTCGTGCCCAGACAAGAGAACATTCAGTTTGCACGAGCCTTTTGTACAGTTGATGTCACAACTTCAGGCGGTACAACTGTGAGGCTGTGATAACCACAATGAAATTTTCGGGGCATACAATACTTGTCAAGGACTACATGGGGAGAGTGCTGGTTGTTCAAAGAGCTCGCGGAACGATTTCTGTCATGCAATGTGCAACGCACCAGTTGTTACAGACCTCTTTCGCGGGATCCTCCAGGTTTACGAGTATCCAATATGAGTCTTGTGATCGTGTTACCTTTCTGCAATCAAAAAAGGAGTGGCAGGCGGCGTTATACCAATTTCACATGCATTGATGCCGTCCAAAAAGGCAAGTGAAAATGTCATTGCGTCCGTAAGTCTTCCTCTCAACCGCAGTTTTGCAAGTCGTTGCTTTCGGACTCGTGTGCTCTGCACAATGTCTCGTGTGGCAAGCTGGATCCTCCAGCGCGAGCTTAGTGCCCCTGGATCCCCCAACGGGCCGCTCGCGAATCGCAGAACTGCCGGCTGTTTGAAATCGAAGTTCATGATACCAGACGCGACGTTTCATAGCTGCACTTACTGGCCATCCGAGGTTCCCGTCTTTGTCTGCCTTGTCGAAGGCAGCCTTCACCCTCTCGACCTCAGGAAAAGCGGCATCCGGAACAAGGCTTGGACCTGTCGACAAACGAAAAAGTCACAGACCGACCGCAACCCCCCTTGGCTGCAGGCTTCCGTGATCTTGAAACCCTGCTTCTTGCAGAATCTGCGAAGATTTCGCTCCTGAGGAAGGGATTGCGGAAACACTTTGCACTGCAGGTACCTATACAATCACCATATACCCCCCGGAACGACTACCACACGGCTCATACTGCTATCCAAAACCCCAGTACCTTGTGGATTATTTTGGATCTTCGGGCGCAATCTTATCGAGACTGCCAAGCTATGGCTGTTGTCGAGATGGTAGGCAAGATGCGCACAAAGACCCGGACTCTCAGAACTCTAGCCTCCTGACAGTGCTCAATGCCTTCTTGTATAAGCCGGCTCTTTTTCGGCAACGTAGTATAGTGCTCTAATACTTAGGGTATGGGGGTATATTGTATTATCATTATGGTAAGGATCCCCGAGATAGTCGATCATACGAGGAGCAAGCTTTCATCAAATATAGTAAGGTCCAGTCATCCACACTTTGAATCTCGGTGGTGATTGCAAAACTGATGTTGGCAACCCTTCCTTTCGCAGCGTTTTCCACATCTCTTTAATTCGGGTGTTGCACACTGTCACCGGGTCATCACGGCGCATTGGCACTTGCTTCAATCCATAAAGTGTCGCTGGTTTGCCGAGCTGCGATGGCAACCTTGACATTGGAGAGGTCTTTTCAGGAGGAACCGGGCCACTTGCTGGACTGATTCCATGATCTGTTGCCCCAGTTCTTGGTGTGCTCGACTTGCTCCTCCTCATCTTGCTCGCCGTGTCCCCAAGCATCCTTCGCCCAGGAGCTGGCCGTGGCCCTTCCAAGTCCAAGCGGGAAACCTTCTGCGCGCCACTTCGCCAACTCTGCCACTCATCGCCGGACGGTGCACAAAACGTGCCTGCACGGCTCCGGGTAAAGACTCATCCATCTCCACTGGCCAAACTTCAGGAAAACCGTGCCATCCTGGCCGGGCTTCTCTTCGGACACCGTGAAGGCCTGACCACATGTCAGGAATCCAGCAATTTCCTTGCGGGCCACGAAGAGGCCACGTCTCACATCCATTCCCTGTCGGCGCACGCACCTCCATTGGGCAAAGTCGTGGCTTGCGACTGTACCTTCCTTCATCTGACACTTTACCGGCTTTGCCTCTTCTTTGCCTTCCTTGGACTCCTCAGCCTTGTCACTTGTCAGCCTTCGCTACTCGAAAGAAAATCTGCTGCAACAGCAGCTTCGCGATGTCGGAAGGACCAGGCTCTGCGGCCTGACTGTCAGATTCGGAATGCTCTTGCGATCTTTGGCATGGCGGGGTTCGTGTGTCTTGACTGTCCGGAGTGTGTGGAGTGCAAGGAAGCAAGAAGCTCTTTGAGCTTGTCAGCTTCCTTCTCCAAGTCTTGTTCTTGAGCTGGTCTTGCAGCTCGGTGATCAAACAACCATGTTGTTCGCGATCTCGCAACATCGAAACCATCTCCTCCCTTAAGTTGTTCATGATGCCTGCGATGCGCTCTGCCAACATTGTCAGCGGCACCTCTAGCAAGGCTGTGGGCCAAAAGTGCCTCGAGACATGGTAACTGCAAGATGCAAGCATTCTCAAGGCTACTGGTTGTCTGCTACTCGGCAGTGCGCAATCACGTAATTATTCATGCCCCTATACTATCCTTTTGACCAACACGCTGTACCCTGAACGATGTTCAATAACGCTGCAGTCGAAGCCTTGGCACCTTTCATCGCCAGAGGGCATACGCACAGACCCGATCAGCCCAGATCGTTACACCCCAGGCCCCAAAACCTCATCGTTGATCACCATCAGCACCATCATCGTCATCATCACCTAAGCCCTAAACCCCAAAGACCCTGAGCCTAAACCCTGAACCACAAGCCCTATGGCAGGTGGCGTGGCCTGAGGATCGGGTACCATGATTTCTTCGCTCCACTGCTTGTTGTTGTACCTCGCAGCCAGTTGGGTCCAGCGCTTCGGGTTTAGGGACCTTCTAAAAAAAAAGACTTTGGCTTAGGGTTTGTTGCTAGCAGCCTTTTCTCTCCGATGGGTCTCTGGCCGAGGCAGGGTGGGATTCTGGTAGGGCTTCTTCAATGAAGTTCTTAGCATACCTCTACCATAACCACAGCAAAATACCCTTCGCCCTTGCCTTGTACCAACCCCGCATACAAGCACACTGCAGAGGTTGCTTTCCCATCCCAGAGGTCCCAGAATCTTCGTAAAGACAGGGGCTTTTACCAGACTCCACACCGCCTACACAGCACAAAGAGCTCATCAACATGACTACATGACAAGGCGTGCCCTAAACCCTAAACCCCAAGCATCTCGTTGAACTATGGTAGGAGGCACAGGAGGGTTTAGGGTTTACGGCCATCAGTGGCCTTCCGGGCTTGACTTTTAAGGAGTGCAAGCTTAGACTCAACTTTAAACACCCTAAACCCTGCCACAATGGAGGTAAGTCGGCTGCAAAGAGAAGTCTCGTGCCGAAGCTTAGAACACCGAGCCCTCTGCCAACTGACGAAGTCCTCCTCGGTGAGCTCAACATCCTTGCAAGTCTTGCTGAAGAGGTTACATGGGTCTATGGCGTTAAGAGGCGTTAAGGCCTCGGGTGTCCTTTGTGGGGATTTAGGCTTCAGGAAGTTAGGATCCCGATGGTCAAACCACCCAGATATGCACTCATCAAGGCGTCAACAAAAGCCCCGCCTCCGATAACTAGGCACGGCTGGTACTGCTGCACGAGCTGTGACACAACAAGGAAAGGTGTAGAAGTGGTGCTAGCTCTCCGGTGCGTGTAGCGGCATCAGAACATCATGTAGGCAATGACTGTCTTCCTTACTAATTACCTATACTATTTTATGGGTTCCGCATTATAAATATAGTATAATATAACCCCCAAACCCCATTTGAACCTTCTCTTGGGAAGTCCTCGAAGTCTTTCGGCCAGTCGGATTCCAGTAGATGCCCCGGCACGGTTTTCTCTGGATCCAAGCCACAGTGCTGGCCTCGGCTGGGGTGTTGGGTTTAGGGGTTCAGGAATTCAGGGTTTAGGGTTTAGGGGTTTAGAGTTTAGGGTTTAGGGGCTCTGTAAGACTCCGGCATACTCTTCTGAGTCTAGAGCATTGCTATCGGTCGATTGATGAAGGGATCAACATCCATGTGCCCCCGTGGAGACGACCAGTGCATACCACGGCATCCTGATACACTTTCCCAAGAGCCCATCCCAAACCGAAGCCTACCAATCCATACTGTCGCTTTACGCTTCCACGCCACCAAGGCTTCCGAGGTCCGGAAGCTTGAAGCCCTCTCATTCTAAACATGTCCCGCCCTCAGGCCGAAAAGCTGGGCTTTCACAGCGTGGGCCGTGAAACACCAAAAAGTCAGAAGCCGACAACTCGATCAAGTGCCTGGGAGCCCACCCCCAAGACTGGAATGAAGGACTCTGATGCCTACGGAGTGGTAAGGTTCGGAGACTTACCCGATTCTTCTTGTAGCAATCTGATAGTGCCGTGCGCCTCCGGACTGTCTTTGCACAGCATGCCCAGTGAAGCTCTGTGCTGTACGTGCAGCCATGACCAACAATGCCAACGGCAATCTCGTCGTGGCAGGCCAGTCTCCGTGAATCCTACAATAGAAATCTGAAGAAAACAATGGAATAACCAGGAGTCACTAAAGTCACTAAAGTTACTAAAATATACTGCAAAATTTCCTCAAAACCACATCCTATTCCCTAAACCTTAAACCCCTTAAATTACACCCTGGCTGCCTTTGCAGGTCTTTGAGCCGAGTCGCACAGCCACGTGCGGAAGTGCTCCAAGGGCAGCGTCTTACCCTGAAGCAGGGTTTAGGGTTTGGGTTCGGGTTTAGGGTTTAGGGTTTAGGGCTACAGGCAAAGTAGAGGTGAAAAAGGTTTGGATTGAGCACGGAATAAGTGTTTGACGAGGTATCGTAGGGCTTCTTCGGCTTGCGGGTTCGCGGTTTTCGCCCAAGCTCAGCCTCGGGTGTCAAGGAGGCCGAGTATAAGTAGAACTACAATATGACCCTCATGTCAAGCAGAACTCAGCATCCGACGAAACGAGTGCGGAGTTCAGATCAGTGTGTAGGCATCCCAGCTTCTACACGATCCCGCTGTCATGCAGCATCCGCTCGAATAGCGAGCACTCACCACAGAACCAAGAAACAAGCTCACTCTGGGACAGCTCTCTAATCCACCCCCCAGCCATCATGCCTCCGGTGTACCCTAAACCCTAAACCCAAAACCCAAAAACCTCTTTGCCTTGACTTCGCCCAGCGCCAGTGCTTGGTCGAAGAGGCTTTGTATGCGCCGCACGTCCCCCAACTGGCGCACGTTCCCGAGTGTTGTCTGAGAATCTTCTGACACAATCCGTCTGGGGGGCTTCAGCAAAGAAGATGTACCTTGGGGTCAGGGGTCCTGAAAAAAAGGCTCCCCGAATGTTTGAGGTCAGGTCTGTATCAGGGTACCTTTTCCTGACACCGTCCCGCATGTGTTCGAATCGCCGGGCCGGGCTTGCATGCTACTTCCCCTCACAGTGCTGCTCTCAAGATCCTTGCGTCATTCTGCATGTGCCAGCGATCCTCTTGTCATTCTGCACATGAAGGCGGCTAGTTTAACGGCCTTTGGGAAAAAGTGTTCGTTGCTTCTCTTTCTCTTGCTTGCTTGCTTGCTTGCTTGCTTATCTTCGCTCTCAGAGTCTCCCCCGCCCCCGATTCGCTTCCTCGGCCCCGCTGTTCTAACTGCTCCATCACATCAACTCCGTAGAACATTCCTACTCGAGTTGTGTTGCTTGCAATCCACTGCCGGGGTTGCGCGGAGACCGGTCGTCTTTGCATGGCGGCGTGCACCTTAGCAAAAGATGCAGGCTTTCGTTTATGTGAACGACTTGCCGTGAACGGCGACCGGCAGTTCAATGCGCAGGGGTAGTGTGTCCGTGCGCCAGCGAGAATTCACGATGTCACCCGGTCCCAAAACCCTAAACCCGCCTAAACCCTCACACAACTCGCGACCCAAAAGCCCTAAAGCCTAAACCCTCACAAAACTCGCGACCCAAACGTCCTACACCCTAAACCCTCTCTAAGCTCGCGACCCAACAGCCCAAAGCCCTAAACCCTAAACTCTCACTCCGTCTCTCAAATGCAAGACTTGGGCCCGGCACGCTGCTCTGGAGTCTCCTGGGGGAAAGGTGGAGTTCTTCTTCTTTTTTCTAGGGTGTAGGGTTTAGGGTTTTAGGGAAGAAAGGGAGTTGTTACATATTGTTCCTGATGCGATTGATCGTACTCCTATGCGTGAGTAGTCGTTGGCTGTAGTGGCGAAACGACGACCCCAACAGGAGAGCAGGTGAAGTCATGGGCTTGAGAGAACACCCCGCATCCCGATCTAGGGGCCTAAATAATTAGAACGGGGTTTTGGGGGTTCCTTCTTGTACTTAAAGTATAATATACCCCTATTCTAATTATTAAGGCCCCTAATAAAGAACCCTATTATAGATCCCTTATAGAACCCTTTAAGGATCCCTTTAAAGGAACCTTATTCTAATTCTTAAGGCACCTTTTTTCATCTAACCTTTCACTCACAGAAGTGGGGCGCTGCTCCAGCGCGCCTCCTCAACAACCTCCACGACCTTCTCCCTAGGCAGCAGATGAGGGGTGTAATGTAGGGGCCTTCATAATTAGGGTTTTGGGGCTCCTTTAAAGGTTTCCTTTAAAGGAGTCTATAAGGGCTACTATAGGGGTTTAGGGTTTAGGGGCCCTAATAATTAGAATAGGGCTTTGGGGGTTCCTTGTTATGATTATAGTACAATAGACACCAAAACCCTATTCCTAGGCAGCAGATCATGGGTTTAGGGCTTAGGGTGTAACAGGGTTTTGGGGTTCGTTCTATGAGGGCTGCTAGCGGGGTTTAGGGGCCTTCATAATTAGAATAGGGTTTTAGGGCCCATTATACTATAATTATAATAAGGAATCCCCAAAATGTAGGTAGTTATTCAGGCCCCTACATTAGGGCTTAGGGTGTAGGGTTTAGGGTTTAGGTGACCAAGGTCGCCAGTTGTTTAGTGCTGTTCTGATTCTCTTTCGGCTACTTACGACGCCGTACTTAGACTTGCCACTTGTGCACTCGCTGTGTGTTTCTATTGCCGTTCGTGCTTCTGCAGGTATTTTCGCTTCTATACATAGTGCATTTCCGTTTGCAAACCGCGGTCAATTCGTCATATCTTTACGACTTTCGCACGGAACCCTTCGTCACCCGCAGCCCATCTACCAGCAATCTTTCAATCGACGTTCTGCTTGCTGCCAACATGTTGGATATGTTGGATCTGGGAAGCTGCATGGGTAACCATACGGGAGGTAAGCAGCTGCGCAAACATGAGTCATACTGCATAATGACAATCAGGAACCTTAAGACTTCTTGATACAAGTTTTCCAGATGTGAGACTCTACGTTGTGGTGGGTCTGCTGTTGCCGTCACTGCTTGAACTCCAGAATGTCGTTCCCGTCATTCCGTGGAAGTCCGAACTCTCGTGAACATCCCGTCTTCACGAAGGGGAACAAAAAGTAAACCCTTAAATCCCAAAGCCCCAAAACCCTACAGTACGCCCTAAATCCTCAGTTCGAAAACGAAGCCAAGGCACTCGTTGGGATCCGGATTTAGAGTCCGCAGCCTGCAAAGCCACCGCGACAGCGGAATTTCCGAGTGCGATTACGGTCTCAGAGGTTTAGGGGTTAGGTTCTTGGGTTGGGACTTTTACGGCTTAGGGTCTTCGGGCTCATGATTTAAGGTGATAGGGCTTTGCATTCAGGGTGTTCGGACTAATTAAGGGATTTCGACAAGGGCTCATGGCCGAAGACTAAGAATTACAAAAATGTACGCAGGGACAAAGTTTGTAACAATATAGTATGTACCATTA